CGTGGTTGTATCGGTGTTTTTGCGAAAGGATCAATTCTTTGTTATCGATCACTATTTTTGTAAGATCAAAAAAATAATAAGCATTAGGTGCTAATTCTTGCCGCATCATTTTCTTCTCAGTCACAATAATTAGATTGTTTTTCGATTGTAATAATTTCTAAGAAGAAAACAGACAATTTAGATTTATCGCGTGTCTACATTTAGATAAATGTTTAAACACTGACGACAATAAGTTAGAATTTTATTCAGACTAAAACGAACGGAAGCATTAACAAATTATTACTGGAGATCTTCGTCAGACTGTTAATTAGTAGACTGCGGATCTTTATGCAGATTAAAAATTGTCCACATTAATTTCAACATACAGAAGCTATACAGATATTTCTTCCTTGCTTTAATCAATTTATTCAATTAAGAGTAACGCAGCGGTTTTTCTAAATTCTCCAAATGTTTCTGATATTTTTGTATTTGATTCGCTCATTGTTATCGTAAATTGCGTCAAAACCGCGGTCTACTAATTACTATATCATTACTAATAATGAAACGCAATTTTTATTAGAATTATCGAACCGATGTCACGGTTTGCTCATGATGGAATTCATCCTTTGTTATCGATTATAGTAAATTCTCCCTAATTTTCCTTCAGCTTGTAAACAAATTTACAATTATTACGATTTATTATATTATATTATTTTTATATTTTATTATTATTATTATTTTATTTTTATATATTATTTTTATATTTCATTTAATTATACGATTATTCAAGCCTCGCACCTCGATTTTATAATTGTTGACAATCGGCAACTATAAAAATGAGCCACGAGACTCGAATAATCGTATCTCCTCTTTCCAAATTGTCTATTTTTGTTTAAAAGCTGAAGAAAAATTGGGAAGAATTTACTGTTCTACTTTCGCAGGATTTGGGAAAGGATGAAAAGTTACCGGTGACCGATTCCGATGTCTGCAATCCATTTGCGGCCGTTTGTAACGCTAATGAAGGACACGACGTCTAGACGGGATATCCCTGTTTCCCGCGAGTCAACCATCTTCGCTTTCGCTTGGCCTCAAAATGTCATTTCGAACTAATCGCCGGCACTCTATTGTCCGATTCTCTCCGTTTTTTACACCGTGACGATACAAATCGAAGGATCGAAATCAATCGATTTCATCGCACCCGAATATCAATATTTACACATTTTGGTAAGCAAACTCTTCTTTATCTGTATTTACTTTAATTGGCCGTACGATGTGAACCGGTGGAAGTTTATCGTAGCTGAAAGTCGGGGCAGTACCGACTTCTGTATAGCATATTACGCAGCCGGATTGTTTATATTCCATTGTCTCCGCTGTTACGACGCGTTAAACGTATTGTAATTCTAAGGAGGGACGTTTGTTAATCAATAAAATCCAATAATTACTGGAAACTTTGCTCGCAAACAGAAGTTAGCCCTTGAACGAATTTCGATATTGTCTTTTGCGGAAGCTGTCTCAAGAACAGTGAATGATATTAACCTTTGGACGACGAACAATTTTGAGCATTTATGACAGCCACAATTAGATCCGTTCAAACCTTTACGATTCAGTTTCATCTGTATATTATTAAAATTTTTGTTGAGACTAAAGTTAATTCTTTTAATAGTTTCAATATTAATAGTTAATAATTACATATGATTGTGTCACAAAATTAGAATTTAGATGGAATGTTTGCAAATCCAGGTCCAAATGGACCCGGCACCTGCCATGCGAGGGCTAAAAACAATCGAGACACGAAGTTACATCGATTGAAACGATTTGACGCAATAAAATTGTCTGCTGTTCTCAAAATGTTTCGCGAAAAATACAGAATTGAAATTTTTTCAAGGGCTGATTTTAGCCCTTTAAAAACAGTGTATCGGCACCGAAAAGATACAGATATATTAGGTATAATTATAAATAAAAGACATTTCACACAGAAATGTGTCTGAAATTACATAAATGAATAAAGGCAATTGCATTTCGAAAACATTGGTTGATCGAAGCGCAAGGTTTGTAGAACTGAAGTTGAAGTAAAAATCATTTATTGCGACAATTATATTAATATTTTATTTTAACATTATTAATCGTTTAGATCGAGAAAATTTACTAATTAAACAATCGATCGGTACTGCCCGACAATTTTTCGTTTCCTTTCAAATTACAACCCTTTTACCCCCGCGAATTGCCCCAATGCTTATTATAAATTTCGCAAAATTAATTTCTGTCCTTTTATTAATCCCTTGATATACCATTTTCTTTGCACTTACTGTGATTAGAAATCTTTCGATTGCAATAATTTCTTAGAATAGGAAGAAAATCGCTGCTTATTGCGTGCCTTTTGCTTGAATGCTTAAATATTGATGACAAAAGATTAGAATTTTATTCAAATTTTAAAGGACAGAATAACATCTATACACAATATGTTATTACTAGAAATTTTCATGACGAGATGGACTCGTCAAAGTACGGCAAGGGGTTAAGTGACTTTTGCACAACAGATTCGTTTTTCTAATTTTGATTTTCATCGACTTTAGCTCAAGATAAAATCTAGGTCGGTATCGTTCGATCATCCCCTATTTCATTTGATCCGTTCGCATGAGTTTTTATTCACTTTCCGTCATAATTATTCGTCCGTATGTTAACACAAAACGGTTTTACAACGCAGATAACCAGATTAACGAGTTATATTGTACAAACCGATCCACGAATTGTACTTAAACAGAGTCTTCATAAAGATTTCAATTTCAAGAAAGAAGAAGAGATATCGCAATCTGTGAGCTTTTATAAAGATTCCAAGAATCAAGAAGTGATATCGCACACTGAACGAGTTTTATTAGACCAAAAATAAAATAATGATCTTATTAAAGTTCTTTGAAGCTACAATTTTATCACAATTAGCCTGCAGATTTTATGCGTTTTCGACAAAACTGACTTTCGTTTCTTCCAGTTAAGTTGGAGAATTTTTACATTTCGCATAAAAATCCATATTCTAGTCACAACGAATACTTCAAAGTAAGATAAAAGTTCCTAAGTATCTTTAGAGATTAACCAATTTTAAGGCTTCATGCGGGTAGCTATTCTTTTTTCATCCAAAAGTCAATCCGAATGATGCAATCGTGGCGACAGTTTGTACGTTCACGCTACGTAATACTACACGGTGTTCCAAAAGTTATTTAAAATCTGATGAGAGAAACAGCTTTCTGTAGCCATTCGAAGTAACTTTTTCCTTAGCGCAAATGCAATCCGCGGCTTCGTTTACGAGTTATTAACGAGAAAACAGTGGCCAATGAGAGCCGCGATCAGCTGACGCGAAGCGGCCGAGCTCGCGTCTCGTTGGTCAGTGTTTTTCGTTAATAACTCGTAAACAGAGCCGCGGATTGCATTTGCGCTAAGGAAAAAGTTACTTCGAATGACCTCAGGAACCCCTACTTTCCCGATTTTGAGTAACTTTTGGGACACCCTGTACCAATAGCGCTAAATTGAACGAGCAGGTGTCACAATTGAATCTTCGGCGTATAAGCATTCGGTACACACATTCGAATCCCGTGTACACTCCAGTATAAAATTAATCCTCGCGTCACCTTGTATACGCCAATTACTTGCATTTGTCATACCTGAAGTCATTCTCATTTCTGACTCTGGATACGTGTGCGTAACCGAGCGCCTATTCCCGTGCCTTATTCTTGCGAGGCACGCACTTTTATCGCTTAGTAAATACAGGCCTTTATCTGCGCCCCTTATCTATATACATTTATCCGTTCAAATGAAACGTTTCACGAACCGTTGTAAATATATGTATTGCGACGTACCTGCGAGCTCCGAGTGCTTGAAACGAGTCATTGTACTCGAACAACAATCGTTCATTCGCACGTTTGTGTTGCACGACCTCGAGTCGTATACACATGGAACACGTAAAATCGAAGGAACGTCGCAAATGTACACGAATATACAGGGTGAGCCACGTAGAAACAGGCCGCCCGAACAGCTGTTGGTCTGCTGGCAGAAAACAATGCATTAGCTGAAACTCAGTTGACCACCACGTGTGTTCACCTAATCAAGAACTATTAACATCAGGTTATACGTCCTTCGATATGCCGAGCATGTTCAGCCTAATGTATGTTTTATTCCATCAAAAAGTGGCCTGTTTCAGGCGGCTCACCCTGTATACACGTACAATAACGGCGGCAAATAAAAGATAGTGTAAAACACGAAGATGGTAGCTAAACGCAACTATAATGGATAGGCTGCGGATTTGTTGGATTCGTGGTAAAATGAAATAATCGTAATTTGAAACGATGACAAGATTAAATGAATTCAAGAATTTGTTAGAATCATTCAGGTGGGAATGAAATTTCTGTTCCTCTGTATTATGAAATTAGTGCGGCTAATTATTGTTCTGTTATTTCGAAATGGAGTCAACAAATTGACTGATAAATGAAAATATGTTATTGTGAAAACGACGACGGAGAACGATACATCGATGAGATCAAATAAGAATAAGAATTATATTACGTTAGAGAGGTATTATTAATTTCAGTAAGAGGATATTATCGATTTCAAGAAAAAAAAGAAGCTAGTAATTTTTGTTAGACATGTGTAATATACACTTACCAACAAAAATTAAGAAACTTCACGTATCGTTAACGTTCGAGTAAAATTTGATATATGATATACGTCTTATTCGATTAAAAAGTACAGTGAAGCATATGAGACATTGCAATATTGTTTTATTTAATGCATTTTATTTAATGCTGCGGATATTATGGATTTATAGCAAAATTGAGTTGCAGCAATTTCAAATAGTAGAAACATTTGAAGAATTTAAATATGTCCATGTATTATTTTTAATCCGTTGCATTTATTAAAGAAAAAAGAAACAGTTTTCTTTCCAGTTTCTATTCCTTGCGATCGTAACAGACTTATGTTTCGTTGAAATCTACAATCTAATAATGAAGATGATAATAACGATTGAAGATGATAATAAAGATTCTATCGAACTGTCAATTATAGTTTATACCGCGCGTGAAAGTGGCAAAACGCGAACTCTATTTCTACAATATGGGAAGACAAAAAAATATATAGCAAATTAGCTGGATGCTAAATTGACGCATCGCCGAGGAAAAGTATGTTTAACGTATGCCTCGTTCGCGTCGGTAGCTCGAACGCAGAGTTTCGCGTATTATATTGCCACGTGTTATCGTTCGAAGAACTGAACGTCTCTGCCGACAAAGGAGCGAAGCCAGACGTTAAAGACGATTGTTTCGGAGACCGCAACTCGCGTTCGTGCAGCCCAAAGCAGGAAAAAATCGCGGCTTCTACGAGAACCATTTTCCGTCTCCTTCTTCCGAGCGCGCAAACAACGAAGCTGTCTCTGTCACTCCGGGTTCCATGACGAAAACCGCAACGTTAAGAAGGGAAGCATTTTTTCCGTTGTTCGTTCGTAATCAACGAACGAAATTAAAAGCACGAACGCGCGCGATTGTTGCAACGGATCGGCAAACGTAAAACGATTGTGGATTGTATTTAAACTTTGGTTATTGGTAATACGTAGGAAGCGCTATCTCGATACAAGTATCGATCGACAAGGCTGTTGGTGACGTAATTTCAAGGAGAGGATCCGGCGATCTCTGGCGCAATAGAATTTCGCTGAATCCGTGACCGACCAGGGTGAAAGAGACGTTCGCGAAAAATTGGCTCGCGATTGAGCTGACAGGTACCGTTTCCGTCGAACTGCGACCAAACGAATGCTCCCGCGTTCCCGTGGCCCGGAGTAATTCGACGGAACGATTCGTCCGACCGTAAAATTTCAAGCGGCACGGATTTTCGTTAAACGGGCGACGAAAATGATTAAAGATCACGGGCTACAGACCACAAATAGCGAGTTGACTGCGCATAGCAGGTATTTGATACAACGTAGCCCAACGTCGAGGTGCGTGGCAGCCATTTTGGTGCACGTTCGCCGTGAATCCTCTTGCACGCAGGTGCACTACAGAACGATACTGCTCCTTCTCTCTCCCGTGCCACGAGGAAGAACCGACTGAACGCGGAAAACACCTAAACTCGATTCGATATATCGCATTATCTACTGATAAAGACGTTCACATTCCGGCGACACACGTAACGCTGTTTAGTTACCAGTTTTTACAATGGTTTTTGCGACACTTTTCGATCCGTGCTCCGTATCAGGCGTTACCTTCTCTCGTATAACGTAGTTTTGTCAACAAGACGTGAATTGAGATTCGAAAGAGACACGACAATTTGGACTATTGGATACTACTGTTCAATTATTGGGCATTTCTGGATATTAATGATACGGATTATTTAGTTTTTGAATGTTCGACAGTACCTATCATGCTTCGTGGAATCGAATTTGTATCGATATCTTAACTACGTGCTTCTCATTCAAATGCAACAAATAATCTTTTGATTACTGATAGAGCCGCGATACGCGATATTAAACAAACCGATGTTTCTAATTTATGTATTTCATATAAACACGCGTAAGTGCTAGAAACATTGGGAAAATAAATCGTGGTTGTATTGCTTTTATTTTCAATTTCATTTTTTCATTGACAATTGCATCAACAGATGTAATTATAGTATATCCAGTGTCATACTTGGGTTTTGCCAAATGTAATTTAGCAAAATAAATTATAATTTATTCTCTGAAATTGATGATATAATTCTATAAGAAGCTAAACAACGAAATCGTTTCACGAATAATCGCTTTTGATCAACAACAATCATTGACGATATTTTTAGCAGAGGGATCAAGAGGCACGTTTTAAAATTGTAATTTAAAAATTACTCGATCGATTATTGTAACGCCTATAAAATTAATTATGAGAAGTATATGTGTACAGAGAAGATCGGCAAAAATAACGTTAATGTAGGAAATAAAAAATTATATTTTATTTCAGTCGTACAACTGTACACTATAATAATGTACGTATGCATGAAATTCGTAGCTCAGCAGCTTCGAAGGTAATACAGTTTTCTTTATTACACAGCGAGACGTTATCGAGGAGCAAACGTTGTTTCCTATTGTCTAACGAGTTGGTGATGTTTATTGGTCAGAGGTAAAGAAAAGTGCCATTGGATGCGCTATGAAACGAGGAAAATACTACTAAACGATATGCTCGTCTTAATATCGATGAACATAATTTGTAATTCGTTAATGTAATAATAAATCATACGTCACGTAGTAACACTCCTCTTCTCGGAAGTCATGACTTGTACTCTTTTGTATAAGGAATATAAAATCATAAATGTACTACATTGAAGGAAATAGATGGAAATAATTATTTAAATTATGTATAAATCAACTAAAGAATGATTTGATGTTAACATACATTTTTCAAGACTTCTTAATAATTTTGAATACCTTTTCGGAAACACAAATTTATTTTACCACTTGTTTGAATCTTTGTATTACTTTATATGCCAATGAATAAATTTTTAGTAATCAACGAAGTTAAAATATCTGCTTAATGAAAACTATATAACTTCAAGATACTTTCGCTGCAGTAATTTTATAATGCACTAACATTAAGATCGCCAGTCTTGTTATAAAATAAATATTAAATTTAATATTCTTCATCCAAGTTGTTAGCAAAGAAAACATATTTCAAACATGGCTTTCCTGTTGGTAATAGTTGTTGCGTCATGGTAGTGAAATTATTAGTTTCTTTGTTATAACTAATTACACATATCTGAGTAAAAATGATCGCTCAAAATCATTAGTCGCATTTCAAACAAAAGTCTATCTATTGTATATAACATTCTACAGGTTTCGTCAATGCAATATTGAGAACAAAATAAAATTGAGAGTGTACTGAAAATGGCTTCAACTGAATTGTTGAGAAAATGAGTAAAGTTTCATACATAAAAATAAAAATTGTTCTGT